TTTTTATTTTTCCTTTTCTGCCAGAAGCTTTAGAATAAATTTGGTTATAAAAGGTAATTCCAGGCTGTGATCAAGGATTCAAAAGGCAGTCCAATAAAAGTGGGTCAAATACAAGTAGTATTCATTTCACTGCATTTATAATCATAGCAACAGTAATGTTGCCTTTTCAACTGTGAAACAAAGCTAAAGTTTGAGTTGTGGATCCATTAGGGATGTTGCAATGAGGAATTTTACCATTTATGTATAAACTCTGGTGAATACTCATACAAAATCCTAAACATTAAGTTTCTTTATTAACATAATATCCCTCATTTCATCTCTTTGTATGTCTTGTATTCTGTGCCTCCATTTTCAAAACATTATCTGACAATGTAGTATAATACTGTCCTGTATTTTTTTTTTAAACTAAGATTAATATTCTTTATTTTTATTATTGTTCTGCGTGCATACACATTATCTCAATACTTTGAGTTTTAATCTCATTATGTTTAATGGTTCCTGGTTAATTCTGCTGCATTTACAGCAACGTTGTCCCTGTTAAATAGACAAATAAATGACAGACTAATAGTAAAATCCCTCTGTGACCCAGGGAGTAAAATGGACACATAACACTCAGGAGAGATAAGTTATATTTTGAGGAGGTTGAGTTGAAACATATTTTCCCAAAATGACCAAGCAAAGCAGCCAGGAGAGGAAATGATTAACTGCTGCCTGCCGACATCCTGATAAAGTCCTTTAACTTCACACACAGGCCACTCAGATCTTTGCTATGCTGGCACTGCTGAACCAACCAGGCATGAAAATAAATATAGTTTCACTAAATGATTGATGCCGTCACTCTCAATACTAAAGGGTTTGGGGATTTTAAGAAACTCATGCAGAAATTAAAATGAGGTCCAAGGCAATCAAACAATCTTAAGAAAGTCTTTATTTCATTTTATTTTCTTTCATCAAGCAGAAGAGATGGGACACTAGAACCCCTGACATATTAACACATTTTTAGTCCAGACATTACCACTTTAAAGGAAATATTTGACATTTGGTAAATACCGATATTCACTTTTTTGCCAAGAGTTAATAAATTGATACCACTGTCATGCCTGTCTGTTCAATTTGAAGCTAGGGCTAGCAGCCAGTTAGCATAAAGACTAGAGAGGAAGGGGGCCCAGCTAACCTGGCTCCAGAAGATCTAGCGCTCACAGATAACACTGACCAACTCATTCATACAACATGAAAGAGATAGCAGAGACTTCCAAGGTTAAGAACAATTATATTTATTACATATACCAAGAAAACTTAAACATTAACATTACGAATAACAAGGTATGGGAACAGTTGTGTTAATGACAATATAAACCATATAAAACAATGTCAGGATGAGCTACAGCCAAAAATACAAAAAGGGGCACTATTAAAGTAAGAACTCCCATTCAGGGGGAGGTTCACTGTCTACCAGGAATATTTAAGAGGAAGACCCACTCTCCGCAAACGCAAAAGGTTGGTGAAATTACAGAATATACCCACAAACACACAAAACTAAAGATAAAGTGCAAGGTGCAAACACAGCAAACAACACTCAACCGTGCAATAGAAGGAGTGGTTACTCGGCATACTAGGCCCCCAGCTTGAACAGGACCACAGCCCCCCTTCCTGGATCAGGTTTTGGCCTAGAACACAGAAAGAAACTTTAGGGTATGCAAATGGGAATTAAAGACACCTTTACTGCTATCATGTTAAACCCTCTTAACTAGCACAGTAACAAAATACATAAAGATAAAACCTAGATTTCAGCACTGCAAAAAGGCAAAAAACAACAACAAAACAATTACACAATGATCAAGAAACACTAAATGGTTATTAAAGGATGGTTTTATATGTTTTAACAGTCATGAGTCAGTAAATCAGCTCCCACATCAAGCTAGAAGAGCTATTCATCACTCACTCTGTCATCAGTCACCAACAATCCAGTAAGTGTGCTGTCAGTCAAGGAAAAACCTAGTCTATAACAATAAAACAAACTGTCAACCCCTTAAACCACACAGGACCCTAAAGCATGCAAATACAACAAAAGCAACGCAATCGAAAACCTCAAATTAATTCACCATATAGATGAGGGGTACTGTCATGTCTGTCTGTTTACAGCCTGAGGGTTTGCCTGGTGTATATATAGAGGGGTTATATGCTATACATGCTATATGAGCTACACCTGGTGCTCAGTGGAACATGATCAGGCTCACTTAAGGAGGACTAGCTAACCCCCCTGGTCTTAAGGTGGACCAGCAAACCCTACACAACCAAGCCCCCATTTTGAATCATTATCCCAATAATAATTTAATACCAGAGCCTAAAGTTCTAATATAATATGTTAGTTATACCTGGGTCCAAAAAAAGTGTGCACACTCACCAGTGGATTAGTGTGGATGGCTCTTACAGGGAAAGATTACTGGGGGCCAAATGGATGTACTCACAGAATGCCATGGGGTGTCCAATTGAATCGTTTATACTAGTCTTTTTCTCTGGGGTGGTATGAAGTAGTGTGGGTTTTCTGAATCCCATACAGGCCACAAAGCTGTTGAATGAGAGCACATGGTTGGTCACATGGTATAGTAACCATCAGGTGGCAGAAAGTACAGCAGTTTGGGAAGCATTGGCTACAGTGCAGTGTTCACATTTCACACCATTTCTTTACCTGGTGGAAAGGACCCTGGTGTAGCTGGGTAAAGACCTCCTCCTGGATGCCCCTGGCAGTGGCAGCTGGCAGGTCGCAGATAATTCCATCCTTTTCTACCAACCTATGCCACTGTTTGAGGAGCTCCTTTGCAGCCAGGCCAAGTGGTCTACACTCCTCAAACCGAGTGGATCCATGCTTTAAGAACCGGGGCTTCCCTTCTGTGGTGTAGCTCTGCCTGCAGGAGTGAGCTGTGGTACCGCCTATTGCAGAGTGCGCAGGAGATTTGGCTTGAGGAGAGATTCTTTTGTTGGTACAGTGGTTTCTCAATAGAATTGGTGGAGTTCATTACCTTTGGACCTTTGGAACAGTTATCTTAGCTAAACTAAGCTGAGCATAATATTTAGCATAAAGAGCAGTATCAATGTTTTCATAATTGTTGAAAGCAAAAGAAAGCAGATGTCCCTCCTGTTGTTTTTTTTATTCACCCACCTATGGTATATCATTTTTGGATTTATCTTTTTTTGTGAGTAGCATATAAGAAACTATAACTTAATCTTGTGATACAACCTTATGTGGTAAAACTATAAACAAATCTACATTGTAATCTCCTCCTAATTCAAAGATCTAGATGCTAGCAAATACAGAAAACCCCATGTTTATTCTACACAGTCACTTTTAACATGTTCAGTGTTTCAGTTGAAAAGATTTTAATCACAAAAGCCTTGAACATGATATTTTTTTTATTTTTCACACTGGAATGGATATTTGAAAAAGAAAATCTTCAACTGCTATTTACAAACTTTTCAATTTCACTAAAATGTTAATCATCTGAATTCTTGGAAATACACACACACAGACACACTCAGTACACTGGGTTACTTGAATAAATTCTACACATTGATAAAACCCCTAAAAGCGCTATCAAGCCAAAACATTTTGTCAACATTAACGTTCCTACATTCTAAAACACAGCTCTTGTGCTCATATCCAGGTAGGACCCCTGGGGGTGGGCGTGGCCATGCTGGTGTTGTCTGTACAGATGCCTGAATGGGATGGAGAGGGATGAGTGAGGGTCCTGACAAAGCCGGAGGGGATAGGACGGAAAGGCAGGGTAGAGGCCTGGGTTAGGAGTGGAGGAGGGAAGACTGGAGGGAAGTGATGGATCAAGCTGAGGGAGAAGAGACGGGTGGTGCAGTACCATCTCTGGGCGGTAGGGGGCAGCAGGATTGAACTGAGGGATGGCACTTATTTCAACTGGAGGGTATGAGGATGTGGAGGAGGAAGTGGAGGGATTGGGTAGGTTTTGAGGGTGGGCTGTTGGCGGCAACGAGGTGGCACACTGCGGGAAAGAAGAGGAGACAGCCAAGCAAGAGGAGGGCTGGAAAGGAGGGTGAGAGAGGGAGGATGATGAGTGAGTGAAGGAGGAGGGAGGGAAGGCAGCAGCAAGGGAGGAAGCTTGGGCTTGGTGGCTCAGGTTTTGGAGGTGCAAAGCAGGATGGGCGGAACCAGGATTTGGAAATGACATATTTTGCATGTGTGGAGGGACAGAGGGGAAGGAAAAAGATGTAGGGGCACTGTGAGTGGGTAAGGGCCACTGCAGGCTATGAGCTGGCAGATGGTTTTGGTTGGGGAGAGGCTGAGTAGTGACTGGATCAGGATTTGCACTAAGGATATTTGGATAGATAAATCCTGCTGAGCTTTGATCGCTGGGCACATTATTTCCGTTAGTAATAGGTTCATCCTGCAGCGGCTGACTAGGTTGGGTGAGCAGAGAATGAGCTGATATTTGGCCCTGAAGACCTGGCTGACATGTGGAAGGTGGAGCAGGAAAAGAGGCCTCTGTAGGTGTGTGGGGGCTGATCGTCTCTGGCATGGTGTGATAGGCGGAGGGGGAGGAGGAGGACAGGAGTGGCTGTGGCGAGGAGGAGTTAGAGGGAGGCGGAGTGGGAAAGGTGAAGGAGGTCTGCTGCAGGGAGGGAGTGGTGGAGGAGGAGGAGAGCGTTGGGGAGGTCGAGAGAAGAGATGGATAGTCGATAGGAGCAATGGAGGGCTGAGGATTCAATGTATCCGAAGAGCTGGGGACTGGGAGGGAGGAGAAGGAGGAGGAGGAATGAGGGAGAGGAGCAGAGGGGAAAGAGGAGTTGGTCTGAGCATCAGGGAAGGTGGAGGTGTAAGCTTGTTCACCCATAGTGTCTGATCTGTGGAGGAGAAAATGAGGGAGAGATATATTAGTGCTGAAAAGACTGTAGTTAAGTTAAGAACAAGAATAAATCTCTTTCTGGACACCTACCTTTCAATTATACCATTTGCCACCTCACTTCCTGGTGCGTTCTGCATCCCATTGGCCATGGAGATGCTGATATCAGACATCTGGGATGCCATGAATGCCTGGCCGAGGTCTAGTGGCTGATCAGGGACCAGCGTGTCCTGATAGGAGGCCTCCTCTGGTCTGAACCCACAGGAGGGGTCAGGCAGCTGGGGCAGAGAGGCCAGAGCGAGGGCCTGCAGGTCTGTGCTGGTGGGCTGCGACAGAAGCTCAGTAGAGTCGCACGGATCACAGTTCACTAAGAGAGACAGACCGAAAAGGGTTTCAGGATAACAGACAATTCAAGGCAATACAGGAAGTAACAGTTATATCAAAATAATGTCCAAATTAATTATTTAAATTAGTGTAAGTCTGTTTACCAATATCCAAAGTTTCTTTCAAGACAGAGATTTTGCGCTTCTGTCTTGCATCTCTTTGTCTGCAGAGAAAAGAAAGGAGTTTAGATCTTCCACAATATGTACTACATGTGAAGTATATGAATATGTGTGTGTTTCTGTGTGGGTGTTTGTTGGGAATTACTTTTTGCTGTTCATGCCCTCCTCTCTGAAGCCTTTAGCGAAGGGGTTGGAGCTGATCTTCAGCTCTGTGATCTAAAAACGGGGAAAACATTTTTACACTTGGTTTAACTTCTCTCTACTTCTGGTCTTGGTTCTTAATGTTGCATTGAATCTTTTGTACAGCATCTTTCTAAATATATAGATGTGGTGTTATAGTACCTTGTTGTTCTGGTAGGCAGTGACTGTGATAAACTGAGTCTCAGGGAAAACAAAGGAGTGTTGCCCCCCGCCCCACCTCAGCACATCCCGGGCTTCAATGACATGAACTCTGGGCTGGTATCGATGCAGCGAGTGCAGGATTATCTGAAAAGAAAAGAAAAGAGATTCACTCAAAAGGCACCATAAAGAAAAAATATATCAATGAAGGTTTTGGGTTGTATTTGACGCGGCCAGTCTGCTGCACTTACATGTCCCTGTGTGTCCAACGTGTTGTTGGTGAGCTTGGCGTAGTGAAACGAGATGGTGCGGCTCTGCCAGTGAGCACCCGTGGCAGGTGAGTCTGGGTGGATGAAAACACGGTCTGGTAGCCTCGCCTCTGCGCCGCCAACGGTCTGCCAGCCACCACCTTGGAAACGATAGCGGGAGTTGTCTGCAGGGATGATGTCCAGGAGGAGGATGTAACGGAGAGATGGGTTCAGACCTGAGAGCTTTAACCTCAGCCCGGGGAACATCCGTCTAAGAGAAGGAGAGACAGTGGACAAAAGTTAGCTCTCTTTTCAGTAGCTTGTTCCTCCCATGTATTCGTGTGGCAGTCATATGTGATTTAGTGATATGCTCTGCCTTTTAAAATACACAGTAGCGGATAATGTTGAGAGCAGGGATAGAGAGAGGATACAGGACAGTAGAAGAAGTGAAACTTTAAGGGAAAGTGGACGAAAAGCAGAAAAGATGTAAGAATAAATAAACTCCTTAAAAGTACAGGAGGATTCAAAGTTAAGATAAACCCTGAGAGTGGGGTCAAAGGTCGGGGCACTATATCCTCTCACCTGCCCTTCTTTGTGATGATCATCTCTGTGCCCACCGAGCTGAACTGTTTCCATAAGGACGCGTTCTCCAGCTCCATCCTCACCTCATCTTTTGGGGTTTTGGTGACAGGCTCGTTGGGGACAGGGGGAGGGGCCAGCAGCCTCTGGGGCAGGGCTTTGGCCGCCATGTCACAGGCGGGAGGGAACAACGGCATGTGGGCTGGAGGCTGCCGGTCTGTGGGAGCACACAAATCCAGGATAAAATGGTTAAAATAAAGCAAATATGGGTGTATATTTGGTGGATCAATTGTACAAACCAATAAACAAATCAATGCTTAGTCAGTTAAAAAATACATTTGGCTGAAACAAACTAAATATGTAATAAGTAAGCACCGCCTGAAACATTTCTGTGTTGGATTTATCACTTTTAGCTAGGACCTCCGTGGGACTGAATGAAGAATTCTTTATTAAACCCTCGATGATTGTGATAGAAACATTTGATAATTAGCTATGGATTATCAACTCTCCTTCCCTTGTATTTTTTGTTTGTTTAGATAGATAGATTATTTTTATTGTAATATTTTATGTAATATTTCTTGTTAGTATTCTGAATGTATTGCTTTTGTGATAAATTATATACACAATGTTGGTTTGCATGATACTGCCATAGAGATTGGAGACACTGGAGATGCACTAACTTGGTGGTTACAGCCACACTTGCTTTAAGAAAACTGATCTTGAGTTATTGTGATACCTCTGTACCTGATGAAGAGCCCATTGGGTTCTGGTTTTAAATGTAATAAAGAAAATATTTTTAAAGGGAGAATTCTACAGCAGTAGACCGTTAAAATCATGGATAAAAATTTTAAAAGCAAAAGCATTAAATCCCATTTCTTTATAGATGTTCAGTCTCTTTCTTTGTCACACACACACACATGCACATACACACACTCCTTCTCACCTCTGTAAAAGCAGTCTCCAAACCTTTGTGGTCCCAGAGTCAAACTGGGGTACATCTCCACGCTCAGCATTTTCCTTGTCTGTGTTTGTCCCTTTACTCGTCCTTTTCACCTGCTGCAAAGTAACATTTCACTCTTCAGCTCTTTCTGTCTCTGTCTCTGTTTCCTTCTACAGATTTGATAACTATAATAAAAATATTCTGCTGTACGGGAGACCTCTTCTTAAAAATGTCTCTTGTTTCTTGCTTCTTTTTCTCTTACTATCCGTCGGTTGTCCTTTGCTACAAATGCCCACAGTGATGACTTGCTCTGTTATATAGGTGTGTTGAGCTTCACACTTAAGGCCAAATGGCCCCTCTTTTGCCTCCCTGTCTCTCCACACAATGCCCTCCATCATCTTCCCTTCTGTCCCTGCTCGACAAACACAAACAAGTCACATCTAAAGGTGATTATTGAAATCATGGGTTTTTCTATACTTTTAGTGTCTGATAGGGAAAGGTATGATATATATGTTTTATTTCATGTCAGTAAAGGTAGGACTCTACTCAAGTACTGTTTTGAGTTATTTGTACTTTACTGGGGGATTTTCATTTATTTCATTTCATTTATTTCAACTAGATACTTTGCAGATAACATTGTACCTATTATAAAATAGAATGTATTGCCAAGTTAAATAACCAAAACTATATAAAGTAGATCTATAGATCTAAATTTGCTCCACCTCCACCAAATGATTTAATTATTTATAGATTAAAATGTTGCTTACACATTAATGCATCATAAGTGAATACTATAATATATTGTGTACTTCAGATACTTTAAGTACATTTTGTTGCTAATACATCTGTACTTTTACATGACTTTGCTTGTTGCTGAGTATATTTACGTGGTGTTGATATAGGATATGAATTCTTTCTCCAACACTACATGTCAGTAAAACAGGCTCTAATGAATCCATTAAACATATTTATCTTCAGTTTTAGTCATTAGAAGAACATTATTTAGTCAGATGTACAGCAGGTGTACCACCATTTGTAATCTTACTTCTGTGATTAATTTAATAATTCTGGGAAATCCTGCTTAAATTGCAAATGCTTGTTGCACATACATAGAAATCTAGTAGTTTACTGGCAGCTCCCCTGTGGCTGTTTGACGACTTGATGACATGTTTCTTCCTCTCAGTAGTCTGCTTATTAGGCTCTCTCAGCAGGGAATCAGGCCTTGAATGAAGGTGGAAGAGGAAGACAGTTTGGCCGACAGCTGCAATTTGGCCACAAACAACGCAAATAGAAGTGTCTAGAAGTTTGAATTCAGGTATGAGCTTGCTATTACAGCTGATTCTGGGTAATCCTTTCTTGGAATATTTAATACAATTTAACACAGTTGAATGAATCGATTCAACACAAATTTTGTTGTTTTGTGAAGGAAGTTTGGTGAGCAAACAGGATTTTTAATAAAAACACCAAGTAGACCACACACAAACCTCTACGGGTAGTACAGAGTCAATTACTTAATACGAGTTGTGTTTCACTAAAGTAAATGTAGTAATACCACAATATAAGATTACTAAATTTCAAGTAGTAGCAATCAAAATGTTAGTTCAGCAAAAGGACAGAAGTATTACTAGAAACATGTACTGCTAGTAAAAGAACTCATGAAGTAGCAGATTCTCTCTTGTTGGTGTTACATTAAACTAATTTATTATTCTACTCCACTATATTTCAGTGGGTACGTTTTACTCTTTAACATACGAAACATATGAGCAGTTCATGAAATATAACATTTTTATCAGTTAAACTACCAAAATAGAATATAAAATCATCAGAATAAGCTCCCTCTTGACAGTATTAAAATGCTGCTGAAATGTTAATGCATCAGTAATAATAAACCACTAATATAACAAATATTATATATCTTATCATTGTACTTCAGTGCAATACTTAAGTATAATGTAGTTAGTTACATTCCAGCATTAGATATGAGAAAATAAGTGTCTAATCGGTGCAAAAGTGCCTTAAGAGAAAACACAATTTCATGTATGCAAATCAGTTGCAATAAGGTCTGAGACGTCTTCAGCACAAAACCACTCAACAGGCAGTGAGCAGGACAAAGGCATTGGTCTTCCTTTTCTATTATTTTGTGGCAGTTGTCAACAAGTTTCCCATTCTGCTTTTGTTGCTTAAACGTCAAATTCCGAAAAATCTCCATAAGAGACTTTAATATGCAAGAAATGTCAACAGTAATCTGATGCTTTTTGGAGGACTTGTCAACAGACCATAGAGGCTCTTCAGCAGTAAATTACTGTTACATCATGAGTCAAGCCTTCGCAATTTAAATGGCCGGGATAGAGTGGGAGATTTCATGTGAGGACAACAGTTTGAAAAGAAGAGAACACTAGAAGAAGAAGAGGGTCTGAATCTACCTGCTCACTGACATTTCTGCCAGTAAAAAGAGTGACAGCTGGAGTCAGTTTACAGCAGTGAAGTATAAATGTTGTTCTAGTGGTTGTTTTCCTTCTCCATTTGTGTGTATGTATATGTGTGTGTTGGGGGGATAAAAGCGAGCGGGGACTGAGAGGAAGTGGAGGTGTGAACGCCACACTGAGAAAAGGGTCATTACCTTGATGGGGGCAGCGAGGTGTGCGTGATGTCTCTTAATGTTTTTACGAACTGACAGGTGTGTCGCAGGCGCTGCAGCTACCAGACTCTGTAACAGCCAATGATGAGGACTGTTACTTGGTTTGTTTTTTTTAACCATTGCTGGAGTGGGGGCAGGTAGCTCATGCTGTTTACAGTGCATTAAGTATAACTATGAGGCTGCTCTTTGACATGCATGTGCTAAGTGGTTTGATTTCCACCTTTGTTTGCTCACTGAGGTCTAAAGGTTATGTGATTGAAAAAACACTTGGTTTAAGACTTTATAAGATATAAGAAGTAACTGTCTTTACATTTTACATTGCTGCCTCAGATTGGTGCAGATGTTGTTGCTGTTGTTTGAACACTTTCTGCCTAACAGGGGCTTGTCCGATTTCCTTGAGCATGTTTATGATGGAACAACAAGCCTTTTAATCTGATGAGGATTACTGATATTTCAGATGACGTGCTTCTGCCCCCACTTGCATTTAAGGATATTTTGTCTTATACAACACGCCCCAAAATCCACTTTTTTGATCAACCAGAACCCATTTTTATTAAGACCCTGCCAGAAATACACGATAAACAGCACGACATGAACCAAGGAGGCACTTTTCATCATTACATGTTGCACAGATATGGTGAAACGCTCTGCTACTGTTTTACAGTCAGCTCTGAAATGTACTTTCATTAAATGGAAAATGGCTTTTTTTAATGCAACCATGTCACACACATCCATATGAATCGCATCATTAGTTAAAGCAGACAGTGATTTTGTAATGTCCTCAATTTTAGCCAATCAAAGCAGTAGAAATTAATGACTAACTACTGCAACTGTTGCTCGCAGCCGGTCAGACCACCTCCAGAGGGTCTCTGTCAGCCTTCGACACCACCACTGTTACGCTGTCAGGAAGACGCACAGCAAGCTTCTCTCTGAACACAGCCAGAAAACCGCGCTCACTGTTGCTATGGTCACTGAGGATGACGTTGGTTCCCTTCGCCGCGGCGTCCAGCACTTCATGGTGGGACATCTCACCTGAACAATGGATATAATAATTACATCTGCAGGCATACCTACGCCAAGCAAGTAAATTGGCAGTAAAACAAATAATATTAGGTATATACAACTAATCTGAAATTTTACTTCAAATGTCTACCTGTGATGTAGAGGTCTGCCTTAACTCCATTCAGTACTGAGGCCCCAGATCCAGCACACACAGCCACAGTGCACACAGAGGACTCTGGAAAATATCACAATCTCAGGACCATTTCAACAAATATGATAAATGCATGATATGAATTTCACAACAACTATCTTCTTCTGCCTTTCAGAATCATTTTAGTGACATCTAGGGCTGTTTAAATCAGCCCAGGCTGACATCTCTGGCAGTGCTTGTTATTTGACATGCTTGAATTTGTATTTATTAAAACTATTTGTTATTTTGTTATGTTATGTTTGCTTATAATATGGTCTGTACAAAGTTTGTCATAGCAGGTTTTGTTAATATAGTGATTTGGTTTGTATGAAGCTATGCTTAAGTGCAACTAAATACTTGGTAGTTTAGTTGAGAGTCATGTTCCACCTCTTGATTTAATCTACCTGTTACATTTAGTCTGCAGGTTTTCATTTTAAACCAACTCTACAACAGCAGCATTTACCAATGATTTGTGGAATCAGGAGACATGTTGTCTGCTTGGTATAAAAAGTGAAGACCAGCTACTGGGCTAGTTGGTGAGTGTTTATATCTTTCATAATGTTGACATGTTGATTTAACGTACAACAGCCTGCTGTTTGCATAAGAGTTCGTTACCTAGCGTCTGTCCCAATCCCAGAGCCAAACGCAGGTGCCTCAAACCCAAGTGGGACTTCATTTTCTGGATGGCTGTCGCCACGGTGACTGGCTGTTCCAAAACACTGTGTCGTCCTTGGCCGTGTCCTGGGAGAGGGGGCTGCAGGGAGCGAAAGGTGGAAAGTTAGTGAAAAAGTAACGGTATATCAAAATCATACTATAACTATACATAAACTGCTTTGTGAAATGTAAAGGGTAGCTTTTAAAAAGGATCAATATAGAACTTTTTTGTTCTCCGTTTTCCATCCAGTTATTTTATTTTTTTAAATTTGCACATTAATGTAAACAACATGGCACTTCCTGAATTTCTTGATGTTCCTTGGTTCATCATTTGACAGCGATGTGTTTGTGCTGTACCTTTTCTAACTTTAGGATGTTGAGGGACATGCTGGGAGCATTGTGTCGTAACAGAGTCTGGACACTGGGGGTCAGCGCTGAGTCACTGCAGGTCACACTGACATGGATCCCACTGATGTCCGGTCTGTTTTGAGTATAAATAAACGATTATTTACCACGCAAAGGACCTTAGTGATGAGTAGTGGTCAAACCTAAGAACCTACCATACAATACTACTGACCATGTTCCAGTTGCATTCAGTAATCATGTTCATGACTTTACTTTGTTGTCAAAGACAAGCTATGAGTTGAGAGCAGGGTCTGTGTGTCTGGCTGTTTCTGAAAGCACTGACAAGTGTGAACGTCAACTCCCAAAATGCATTGCATTCATAAACTAAGAGACTTGAAAATCAAAGCCAGTATAATAGAGCAATGGATTGCACAACAACTTTAAAGGTCCAGTGTGGAGGATTTAGTGGCATCTACCATTGCAGATTGAAACTCAAATTCACCAAAAACAGGCACAAAACGTGAATTGCCCTTCTACAGCCAGTATTAGGTGGACCCCTGCTTATTCTAAGGTAACAAAAAGAAAACAATTCCTATATTCAGGTGACTATACACTAATGAAAACATACCTATGAATATTATATTCCATTTCTGCCAACAGGGCCTCATAAATGTTACACACTGGACCTTTGAAACAGACTAAATGATACTGTGTTGGAGTAACTGAAAACAAGAAAAGGGCTTGAATTAGGAAATGAATGTAAAACTTATTGTATGGTCTGTTAAGTACACGGAACTAGGCTAACATATTAAGCGCTAATTCATACAAACATCCTTGAATACACATGTTGGTCTATGCAAACATGTACAGGACCTGTTGACTGAATGTTGTAGTATTGTGCCACTGTCACAAGCCTTCAGTTCCTCCATTACAGCGTTCAGTTCCTCTGTGCTCTTGACCGTGAATTCCAGTTTGTGACTGTGAGAGGCGCCACCGAGGGCCTGACTCAGCACAGACACCTGACCGCTACCTGAGAGTCAGAGACAGACACCAGACATGGAGGAAAACAACAGGGGACAAGATGTAGGACACTCGGTCAAACAGTTGACCAGTGGGTCAGTGTCATGTGACACAACACTTTACCTTTATTAAAAAAGCAAGTATTGTAGGTGTGTGTGACCCATTTTCCTTACAGAAAGACCACTTACCAAGTCCCCCAACCAGCCAGTCATTAACTCCTCCTTTAACACTGTCCCACGAGGTATGAGGGGAGAAGATTGCTATCCCGGCCTCCACAGCCCGGATGGCCAATCGCTGCTTCCAATCTTTCTGAACCAGACGCTTGATCGGCCGAAACAACGGAGGGTGATATGAGACAATGAGGTCACAGCTCATGGCCTCTGCTTCCTGCATGACAGCATCTGTAAGGTCGTTGGTTAGCAGGACGGTTTTAATAGGGCGAGATTTGCTAGGCTCGACGAGCAGGCCAACATTGTCCCACGACTCAGCCAGAGACAGAGGAGCAAGCTGCTCCATCACCTGCAGGACTTCTGTTAGCTCCATCCGGCCTAAAGAGTGAGCAGAATGAGAGAGGCAGCGCTTCGAGGAGGCGTGAACAGATGAGTGTAAGGGGACTGAGGTTTGTTGGCTTGCGAAGAAGCTGTGACTGTGAGTCGGGGAAGGGAGAGACGGAGTGATGGATGAAACTGTTGAGGGAGAGGAGTAGAGAGCAGCCTGTGACGTCAAACTCCTCCTGGTACAAAGTCTTCTAAATGTGGGTGAACAAAATGTGAGAGAAAAGTTTCTGCATCCGGTCAACATCAGTGGAGACCTGTGTGGACACCTGTGTGGAGACCTGTGTGGACACAAGAAAAAGAATCACTAATGAAGTCATAACTTAACGACTAAGAGACGATGACAAGTGCACATCATCTCCTTCAAGAGTGATTAATCAACATGTTAGAAATGTAATAAAGTAAAATGCGAAACATTCAGCGATTTCAGCTCTCCTTTTTTCTTTCGTTTTCTATCACTATAAACTGAATACATATGGTTTTTGGACTTTTGATCAGACAAAACAAGCAATTGGGAGCCCATAAAAGGTCCAGTGTGTCCGATTTAGGTGTGGTTGCTGATTACAACCATCTTAACCAACAGATTGCCTGAAAGGATGCCACTACTGACGCAAACCAGTGAATCCAAAAAGCTGTTCCTCTCTGCTCAGACATCAAAAACACCAGAAAGCAACTGGAAAAAGGGACTGGTTCCTCTTAATTGCTTCAACTTTGTTCAGTGTCCCAAAACAACCATAAAAAGCCCTTTCAGCCACCTCAATCAGGACCCCACTTCACAACATCTGGCCAGGAAAATGCTCCATTTAAAGTAATGTAAACAACCAGAACAACCAATACTGTTAGCCCAATATCTAACCTACTGACATACATATATAGATTTCTGTCCCTGAAGCCTTACATTTAGTAAATAGTTCTTTGTTATTGTTTATTTATGGTCCTAACATGACCTACTGTTTCACACAGCTATGAGTTGTGACTGCCAGAAAGCATGCAGCTAACAGCAGAGCTAGCTAGTTAGCAAACATGAACTACTAATACGCACTGAACCGCCATACTTTAAAAACACAAACAACAACAAACAGATCGATGTGTGCGGGAGGGAGTGTAACGTACTGTCTCTCGCCTTTCCGGTCTACGGGATTACTAAAGCTCTGCTGCTGTTGAGCACATTTGTCCCGAAGTGACAGACAGGCTGCGCAAACTGGAGAACTTGCGGATTGTCCCTCATCGGCTTCCGTACCGTCATGCAGCGGGTTTCTGATTGGTCGGTTGAAATGTCAGCGGATAAAGTAATTCATCTTCATCACTTTGGAGTCAAAAGTGGTTAAGTATGAGGTTTTATTGCATTACTACATTACCACTGGCAGTAAGACTACTTACATAGCTCTGTGCTAATTAAATATCAGCATTATTTGACATGGTAGATAGACAACGCTGGACTTAACTTCACTTATAAATGGGATTTAGTCTGTAATTAAAAATGTTGTCAAACATTTGAGAGACAGTTCATACACATGTAAGTATAAATGATAATGAATTGATCAACTTTGATGCAAAAGAAAATATTATGTATTATTTATATTCTCTGCAGATTTAATCTGAGATATTACACATATCATATATCAATATCCTACTGGTAGATGTTTGAGACAGATTGATTCATCACACCTATTCAGTGCTAGAGGACCCCGGCCCTCTGAGATACAATACTCCTTTATTTTTATCTGCAAAACCATGACTGGACAATTTCACAAATAAGTGAAAAAAGCAGTTTCTACCTTGTTTTGCTGGGTTTTTGAGGTCAATGTAGAAGATGTTATTAAAAACAGGTTTTAAAAAATAGGTAAGATGTAACCCTTAGACCCCTGACTCTGAATGATTAAAGTCCTCTTTTTGTGATCTGTAATGAATCGAGACTCGGGTCAGTAGTCTACAAATGCAGAAAGATCAAGGTTATGCAGGAACAAATTAAAATAGTTTAATCTCTCAGACTAGAGAAACCCAAACTGACTTCAACGTTCAGTTTTGACTAAAATGAATTCATTTGAAATGGTTGGAACGAAACTCTCTCTCAGTGAAATTTTGCAAATAGAATTTGAGAGGGAGAATTTAATCAGATGAAGCTGAAGCAATCAGGCTGGTGATGACAAACAAACACAAAATGTCCTTATCCCCACATAACAGATGTGTCCAGTCACAGTCAGGTCTTTCTTTAACACTTCTAATAAGTTCATACTGATAAACATTTTGTTGGTAGTATTGTAATTAAAAAAACACTTTTGGATTAGTGAAAAACACGTTAAACCAGAAACAAACAGTATACAGCCGCTGGCTTTACGTAATGTTGTTCATATGTAACGTTATACAACAAATTCACAGATTAATGTGAACAGGAAAAGACTAGATGACTTTGATAAACTGTATTAACTCCCTGGGCAGGTGGTCCAGCAGTAGATACCCAGGGGGCATCCGCAACTTCTCAGAAAGATTATTAGGACTTTTGGAATAAATAAATGAAAATCCGCACACACAAAAACAAAGCGGGTGCTTGTCAGTGTTTGGAGATGATTGTAAAGGGTTAAAACCGGCAGTTCTCATTAAGTGCACGACGGCAAGCTGCTGAGCAGAGTGGCTACCTCGGAATTGAGTCCGAGAGCGACCCAGAGAGAGATTATTGTGGATTAATGCAATAAAGGTCGATGCTGGATGTTAGAGGGATCAGGGGAGGATCAGGGCAAAGGCCAGCCGGCGAGCATTACATCATCTGATTCTTCCTTTGGCCTCATCAGCCTCTCTGTACACTGAACCCCTCGGTTCAAATGGGGTTCAAACACACACACACACACACACACACTGACATTTACGTTATAAAAGCAATTAAACAATGTTAATCCTTCCTAAATTACTCTAAATGTCTAAATTACTCTAAATGTTCTCACTCTGACTGCCGCACAAAAGAGCAGCCATTTACAACACAAGAAAACACTTCTTCATTAAGCGTATTGGCACACCGATCGCCGCGCGTATCCAATCTGTAGAGTGCCACTGACAGATGTGTTCATTTAGTTATCAGGTCAGTGTTTTCAGAGAGAGAACAGCTTCACTTTTGTTAATTGGTACTATAAGCCCTCGTGCCCCATCTGTCCATCCATTTGAAGTTCTGTCCAGTTTTATTTTTCAATAACATCTGTCTGGCTGATGTACCCAGAGGGCGCGGTGTGTCCTCATTCAGATCCCTAAATTCCTTCAACACAGGTGTTTAATCTCCACTGTGCTGGCTTTGGGTCAGTTTGACGCAACATACTGGAGACGAACCACAAGACAAATTCTGTTAGCAGGTCTTTCATCAGGGCCGGAAGTGAAATCTGTGGAAATTCTGGTGCAAACTTAGGTATTTTTACTGTTGTGTAGTCTGGTATCATTTGCACAAGTTGCTATTGATCAGATATCTGTGTATCTAAGTAACTTTGATTCTCTCGGGGTACATACAATATTTCATAAACAGCTAATACTCTTAAAACTCTTCCCCACTTTTTGTCCAAATATTCACAAACATTAACGACTTGTACTCAGAAGTGCCAAATTCAGTTCAATTAATGGCTCTTAAAAAGGCTAAATTCTAGGACATGCACATCTTGTCCCTCTTTTTTTTGCACTTAATACTTAAAAATCTGTTATGCATGATGTCGTGATGATGTTCTATGAGCAGCACACTTATCAAATCAGTGGCCTTTTTTTTTGTCCATTTTTGGCCACACAATCTCTTTATCCCGATGTCCTTCTAAAGCGAGGGCAGCGAAGTTATTCAATCCTCAACATTTCTACCCACAGTCTAGTACAGCAGCATCACTGATGTTTTTGGATTCCAAATCCCACATGACATTGGCACATGAAGTTCATATTTGATTGCCTTGATGTATTGTACAAGCAGCCTGTTGATTTCTTATGGAAGTCATGCTGTTAATGTGTTGAGTTAGATAGACCTTTGGGTTAAATTACAACGTGTCTTGACAGATGTATTAATAAAGGAAGTAACTTTACTTTCTGTGGAATTTGCCGAATTATAAAGCACCCTTAGTCTTTTATCACATATATGACAAAGCCAAAAGTCTAATTCATGCAGATTAATTGCAGAATAATACACACTCACTGTCCTTCTCCTGTCACACAGGAATCATGTTACATTCATTTAAAACAAAACTCTGATGCAAAGTTTGCTTAGATGTTTTATTGTATCTTTAAATATCTGTTACCAAGAGGTAACTTAGGTTCAATAAGTGAATTATGTAGCCCAACAAGTTCCATGTTACAACAAGCCCAGGCTAAATACTGTATATTTACATATACAATATACAAAGTAATAGCTCAACTGTCAGAACGATTCAGTAAAGAATTAATATATCCCATTATCAATTAATATAGTTCAACAAAACAATCCAAAATTAGTTCTTATATATACAATAAATAAATATTGTTCCATTTGTTAACATACTGTTCAGTAATCTTACATTACAAAAATGTCTCAGTACATGATTGTCAATTTTTGCATAGTTGTAAAATTCTCTCTGAGAGCGACTTGATATTGCTTGACTTTTCTTTGCAGCACTTTAGTATGAATTTTAGCATTTGTACGTGTTTCTTCATATATATACATATATATTCATAAGTTAATCAGTCAAATAGTTTTATAGAAATACATTAATATTAATGCTTGTCCGGAGAGGTGCAAAGGTACTTTTCTTGAATGACGATCTCCTCAGCTGTCATTGACCGGACATCATTCTGACAAACTCTGCAGAGGAGTAGAAGAGTTTCATTAGCTTACTAATAAAATCATAGTAAATACATTGATTGCTTTAAATGTGAACAACACATTTACTGTATTATAAGTTCATAAACTCTTGACAACGACACAATTCCACCTGCACAAATGCTGTTGAAACCTTTGTTGTTTTGTGTTGTTTTTTGCACTATGAAGCTGTTTATTGATGTTCATGTCACTGCAGCTGAAAGACAGTTCGTACCTTCAAAGTCTACTGTGCCATCTCCGTTGTCATCTGCTTCTTTTACTATGGCATCTATCTCTCTTTGGCTCATGTGCTCTCCCATCAGCTTGGTCATGGCTGACCGCAGCTCCTCTGTTGTGATCTCTCCATCTCCGTCCATGTCAAACTGAACAGAGAAACAAGAGGAGAAGAATAAAAGAGGAAGGGTTATCTTTATGACACCACAGTGAGTGAGTTGGGGGCAAATCTGGCAGTAAAGCAACTGCATAGCTGCTGCTTGTTTTTATTTCAAAAAGATCTGAGCGCCTGGAGCAAGTGTTTGACTCTCACCTCTTTAAAGGCGTCTTTGAGCTCTTTGACGCCAATCATCCCAGCCGTTTCTGCCAGAAGCTTCGGGGTCATCAGCTCTACAAAGTCCTCAAAGTCGACTCTGCCACCAACTGGGGGGAAAATCAAAAGAAAAGATGCAGGGTTTGAGAAACATCCATCACTCTTTTATCATTTGCGTTTCTGACAGCTGTGCAAGTATTGCCTAAGTCCTATATCTTCAGTAGTCTTCACTTTCTGTGTTTCATCAATTCTGTATCCATTTTGGACCAAAAACAACCATTTCTAATGTCAAAAACAATCTTTTTTCATATATTTTTTAAAAGCAGGGACTCACGGTTCATGTTGATATTCTGGCTTAGCTCGATCAGCTCCATCTCCGTGGGCATGTAGCCCATCGTCCTCATCAGATTCCCCAGGTCCTTACAGCTGATCAGCCCGTCCTTGTCTTTATCAAACTCGTTGAACGCATCACGAAGCTCTGCAGAGGTGTGCAGAAAAACACTCAGTCAGTAAAGGCTGTGTGGCAAAACCGAACATTTGAATTGAACAAGTGAGTGTACAGAGTGTACAAGATGTAAACAGAACTGTAAGGGTTGTGTAGGTCAAAGTCTGCGTGAGTTTAATTTGCATTTACTGATGAAAACATGAGAATGTGCAAAGATTTAGACAGTAAGAATTTAACTTACCATCAATCTCATCATCAGCCAGTTGTCTGGACTGCACGAAGAAAATAACAGTTTAAAATACAGCAGCTGGGCAACATGCAGAAAGAAGATGATCTACCAACTCATCTACCAGACAATTAACAAAATGGATGTTTAATTTATTTTTAGAGTTCACTCTATTCCTATAGAATTAAACTGCACAGCAATAAAGAGATTAAACTGTAGATTTAGGTGTAGATTAAGTGTTGATTATTACTCATACAGTATCATCACTGGCAGGCACAGATTCTCTCTCTGTGAGTGTGTACAGTATCTCTTCTTTTTTTTTTATCCTGTTACATTTTGGGTTATAATCCAATAAACTCCTCACACTCAGTTTGCAAACAACAGCACATCCAAAATAGAAAAAGGTTTTACAGCTGTACTCACAATATTTTTCCCTCCTCGCAGGAAAATGCACGCTGCTCCAAAACTCATTTCTGCAAGAGGAAAAAGAGTGTGATGCATCATTAAGAAAAGTTCTACATTAATTGATTTTCTGACACATGACACAGAGCTGGCCAGTGTTTCTCAGAGCCAGAAAGTCAGGATTAAGACAGATTGAGTAGTTTGTGTTCCCTCTGAGGGATTGAACACTTGTCCTACATAACGCTCTCTCTCTGTATGTGTATGTTCTTTTTCTGACATTATGAAAACATTTAACATAATTATAGAAGTATTCTGAAAACTGTCAACATAACAAACATTAAAACAGAGTTAAAAATACTAACTAATCCATTTAGATGAACCAACTACAAGTCTAAAACATCTAGAATCTTTTCTGTAATCATTTAAGATGATCAATTATCTGGCAAATACAGAAAATGTAATTTAGGTAATCTTCAACAGGTCATTGACCATGTTATATATACTGTCAATGTTTGTCATCAGCTAAAATATAAATCAGAATTAGGTGTCACTATGTTGGCGTTTGCTCACCTTTGTCTGTTGATGTCTTTTCATCAGCCAATCACATCATACACGACCCGCGAAGTCGAGACTCAGCAGCTGACCTCTGCAGAACCAAGAAGTCCCCCTGTCTTCTTTCTGTTTCCTAAACCTCTTCTCAGTGTCGGTCTCTGTCCCTCCGTACACAAGACAGCCTTGTCCTCTTAGTGTGTGGCGACCCTGTCTGCCCTGCCTGATGGGATGCTGGGAGGTGGTATGAGGGGAGGTGTGGCTGCATCCAGGGTTGTATGCGGGTGGGGAGGAGTCAGCACTGTGACGGGAGGACAGCGGGTTCATATACGGGTTAAAGAGTGTTGACATCATATTGTAAGTTATTGATATTTCAATGATATAAAAACAGGGAAAAGCAGCAAATCTTTACAGTTTTGTTTGATAAATGATGGGAGAGAAACAGGATTACAGCATTTTAAGAGAATGGCATTATTTACAGGAATTTACTGTAAACAGCTGAGCATCATGGGAAGGTGAAAGAAAAGATTTAAATTTCAAAAGTTAGCTGATTATCAGAGATTCTTCTTAAGCTTCTTAAACATTTTTGTAGAAGCACATATGGGACAGATATGCAAACATGTTTTTGGAGAAATAGAAATATATAGTGAATTATTATAAGGGTGTTTTTATCAACAGTTGTATCCTGTCAAAGTTTTTTTCTGGTTTAAATCTTATTGGGTAAAGTGAATTACCTACTATGAAAATAGTTTTTTAAAGAGTGGAGTAAAATGTTTCATAAATTATGACAGTGATTTGAAATATTAGTTGTAAGTTTTATACTGCTGAGTTCGAACTCTTCATCATAGGCTTTATTGTTTCTGTTATGACAATGACACAATAAAAGAATAGAGGCCAATTGTGATCCTCTGTCTGTTATTTTAGTCCCTATAGTTAAGACACAGCAAAACAGATTTTAGACGTATTAAGGGCCAATTACAGCTAACAATGTGTGATAATCTTCCTGAGTATTGGTTACATTTGCGTGTGAAGGAAAAGGATTATTTTTTCCATTAAATTCCCTTATGACAATGCGCGGGATTAAAGCCTCAGGGACAATCTTCCTGCATCGCGGATGTAAACGTTGAATTAACAGGCTGAGCTGAACCAGTTCAGCACCAGGTCTTGCTAGTCTGTGTGTGTGTGTGTGTGTTTGTGTGTGTGTGTGTGTCCTCTGCTCTGACCTTTTCCCCTCTGCTTGCTTCTCCGTTATGTAAATTCATCAAAAATCTGTTCGCATAAGAGGCGTAATCCGCTAGGCCACGCAGCGGTGAACTAGTAATGATTTTATTATCTTTTTTCCCTCCCTCTGTTTCAGCTGGACAGATGAAGGGTTACGCAAGGCCGTACAAAGATGTCTGTGGAGTGAAGAGAAAAGGGGAACATGGGTGAGAAGAGTATAAAAGAAAGCTGAGAAGGGGAGAAGGGAGGGCTGGGTGGTAGAAAATTAGGGATACACAGGTTTTATTTTTGGGAATGAAAGAAGAAAACTGTATCAGAAGCTGCTTGTCATCTCTGACGTACCACAACCTGATGACTGGTGACAGTTTGACTTCAATGGAAAATATGATAATATAAGTAATGAATATACAGAGGGGGAATGTTTGTTTTAGTATGTTTTGTGTACGTCAGCTAAAAGTGCACAACACAGAGATTACACTGAGTGGATTAAAAGAGCTGAGGCTGGGCCAAACAAGCCATATATGTGTTTGTGACGGCGTGTGTCTGTGTGTGCAGAGATCAGCCGTCAAACCAACTTGACAGAAGGAAGAAAATCCAGTCACATGAAAAAATAAATCTCAATAAGTAACAGCTAATCCCAAATAGTATACAGCCATCTATGGTGGGTAATAAATGGCATTAACACTCACTTATTTCTTGGTTTGCACAATGCAATAAGCATACAGGTAAATCTCTATTAGGAGAAATGTCAGCAAATTTAAATTGTAATTTGGAAAAAAAGATGGAAAATGCAGGCAGATCACGAATATATATTTCATAACGCAACGCCTGGTCTGTCTTTATTTTCTGCACATTATGCAATAGTTAACAGAAATATGTAGCATCTTTATTTTTCAGTAAGGATTACATAATAATCTGTCATCCCAAATACGGTTAAAATGGATGGGTGCCAGACACGAACTGAGTTTGTATTTGATGGTTCTTTGCACAGAAACAGCCAGTAGAAATGTCAATGAGAGAAACCAAGAGAGTGCTTTTTACTTTTATACTCTGAGTACATTCATAGCCTGTACTGTTTCACCTTACTCGAGTAAAGAAGTTGATTCAGTGCTTCTACTTTTACTGGAGCCTTTTTTAAACAGAAGTATCTGTACTTCTGCTTGTATAAAGAATGTGTATACTTTGTCTCTGCCGATGTCACTATATGTTAAATTGAACTAATTGAGTTTTATTATGTAGGCCTAACTGTAGAAGTCAGTTCCGGTGATGGCAGTATTAAAAAGTGATTACTTTCTCACAATTACATAGACTGTAACAGGAAAATATATATAGTTTTTTTTTTTTTTGCTATCCTGTTTGTAATGTGGTATCCATCCTTTTAATATCTCTTTTTGTATTAGACTATTTTGGCAATATTGGACTTTTATATGATTTTGCAGTACCTTGATTTGTCAAGTATTTATTTTTTCTGAATTCAGCAAAAACAATAATTCCTGTTTGGTTTTCTTGTTTGTTTCTCATTTGAATTTCCAAGAAATGTATTGCATCACAACAATGCACATTAATATGGCTATTTATTACATATGATTGAATCATATGATAGAAGATTTAATCTATATTTTCCACCACTAATCAGTATAAGAGGCTATCAGAGAATTATTAATTTTTCCAAAAAGCTTTCATTTCTATCTTAACCAGTACAATCTGTTCTCAAAAAAACTTTTAGTCAACCTGTCCCTTTTGGAGGACAGCTGTTGCAAGTGAACTGAGTGAAACAGCAAACAGATTCGGATTAGGATTAAAAGCCAAACTCTGAAGACACATTTCCTCTCATGTGTATAATAATTCCCATTATGATGTGCAAATTAAACTGAGTTCTGACTGGTTAATGCAGAATGTGGTGGGACGCCATTACATTTACTACTTACTTATTAACAATTTTGAGGTACTTGTACTTTATTTNNATTTTGGAAGAAAATATTATAGGTTTTACTACTTTTTACTACACCACATTTCAGGTAGCCTACTTTTACTTTTCAGGTGCAGAATTTACAAATGATCATCTTATCAAATATGGTGCTTTTCTATCAAAGACTGACAAAAACTATGCAACAGAATGATATAATACATAACACTATAAAGCTAATTTATCTGCAGAGTGACTCTTTTTATCTTTGATTCTACATTTTGGTGATAATACTTACACTACCAG